TATCAAATAATTTGCATCTATTATGAAATATTTAATTTTTTATAATAAATAAATAAATTTAATTGTATTAATCCAATTGACCCAACTCAATCTAATCCGTTCATGACTGAGTTGGGTTAGGTTGAATTTCCCAAAAAAATAAAATTAATCCAACCTATTGAATTTTGATAAAGTCAGGTAACAGATTTATCCAAACCTGACCCAATTTAATCTGCTTACACCCCTGCATGGATGTATGATTTTGTATTTGGAAGGAGTTATGCTATAATTTGTAGACATGTTGTAGTTTGCCTCTTGTTTCTAATTATTTGTGCTAATAGGTTAGCTTGTCATGATTTATTTAATGGAATGTCACATACTTGGTGGGACTGTCTACCAAGGTTCTGCAATGAGGCCTTTTTACATAACTATAATGGTTTGTTTGTTTTTAGATTTGCTTAACTTTCTTAATGGATTTTTGTCAACCACATCATTGTAATTTTCTTCTTTTTAATAATATTGGATTTGCTCCAAATGATTGTTAGACTTAGGAGTGCCAACGTTGTTACAATGTCTAGTGTCTACAATAATACTTGCAAGCCAATCTTTTATTTTAAAAAAATCAACTTTTAATATTAAGGCTAAAACCCTATTTTGGTCCCTTATAATAATTGTTTGTTTCAATTTAGTCTCACTTTTATTTTTGGTTTTAATTTGATCTCAAATAAATTAATTGGTTTCAATTTGGTCCCTAATAAAATAATTGCTTTCAATTTGGGACTTCCGTCCAAATTATTTAAATGGAGTTAACTTTTGTCCACGTGGATACCACGTAGATGCATACGTGGATACCACATGCACGCCAAATTTTGTGAAAACATCTAGAACCAGAACGGCCCGTTCTGAAACCAGAACGGGCCGTTTTGAATGCACTCTTGGTGTGTTAATTTTGCACCTGAAACGGGTCATTCCAAATGCAAAACTAACACAACACCAGTACATCAGAACGGGTCGTTCTAGGCTCGTTCCAAAACTAAGAATAGAATATTCTTTATTAATTTTATTAAAAAATATAATAATTTTAAAAAATATTTTTTTATGGTAAAAATTTTAAAATTACTTATTTTTACAAAATACAATTATCTTATAAATAGAGTAATAACTTTTTCTTTTTCTCTTTCTATCTGAAGTAAAATAATAAAAATTAATAGGATAAACATAATAAAATAAAATATAAAAAAATATTAATATATTTATTATATTAGATATAACAACATAATTAAAATATAATTAATAATATATATTTTATAAAATTATTAATATTTTATATATAAAAAAAGAATGAAAAAAATTTTAGTGGGGGCAAGTGCCCCCACTATAATTAACTTAGATCTGTCCCTGCATATGGTTGTGTGGTAAAATGTTAGTCCTGTGTATCTTCTTCCTTTACTTCAGGTTCTACCTCTTCAAGAACAGGTTGTTGTTGTTGGGGTACATCGTCAATGACTTCAAGGAAAAATACCATGTCATTTCATCTTTTACTGTATAGTGTCAATTTGGTAGTAAGTGGTTCACTCCAGTTTGAAATGAAATAAAATCTGCTACCATTGTATTTAGTGATACATTGCATTGTCCTTAATAATACATTGTATAGCCTAACTATTTAACAATTGAAGTTATTAATTTCCATTGACAATATTACCAAATTCAGTGTTTGAAATACTTTGTGCCTTGGGTCTTTTTCCTTCCATGATTCACAACCATAAACTATAATCACTGATCGTTTATGTTTAGCAGTGTGGAACCAGAACGGCCCGTTCTGGTTGCACTTTTAGTGTGTTATATTTGCACCTAGAACAGGTCGTTCCGGATGCAAATTTAACACACCAAAAGTGCAACCAGAACGGCCCGTTCTGGTTTCAGAACGAGCCATTCTGGGTCCAAGTGTTTTAAAAAAAAATTGTCATCCACGTGGCATCCACCTATGCATCTACGTGGCATCCACGTGGTCATTAGTTAACTCTGTTTAAATAATTTGGACGGAAGTCTCAAATTGAAACCAATTAATTTATTTGGGACCAAATTGAAATCAATTAATTTATTTGGAACCAAATTGAAACCAAAAATAAAAGTGGGACTAAATTAAAACAAACAATTATTATAAAGGACCAAAATAGGTTTTTAGCCTAATATTAATAATTTAATATATAATTATATATTTTAAATTTATAGTCTTATTTATAATAATTACAAAAAAAAAATTCACTCTATATATATATATATACATATATATTCTCTAATCAATGAAGATTTAAATAAAATTAGATGCATTTTTTTGTGCTTTGCTCGAATCCAAATTAAAGTTTGTTTTTATAATCTACACAATAAAGTTTTATATTAAAGGTTAGCATAATTTAAAAGCAGAACTCGAAATCTATATCTATATTAGAAAAACAGTCCTAAAAATACTGAGTCAAAAGATGCTCCCTATTCGATATTTTTATCTCTTTTGAGTGTCCACATGAAAAAGCACCAGCCGCACTTTGGCAGAGCAATAAGCCAATAATAACGTATAGTACTCCAAAACTTCTTTTCTTTTTCTCCATAACACTCTCAAATTTTGAATTATTATCTTTTATGTTTTTTTTTTATAGTTTCCGTGATTGCAATGAGGGCCAACCGCGGAATAATTGAAAACTCAAATGAAATTTTATAAGTAATTTTAGCATTATTTTTAATTTAATTCGATTTAAAATTTTGTTTTGAGAATGTATGTTAATATTTAATGAAAATATTTATTATATATTATCATAGTAAAACTTTAATTTTAATTTAAAAAGTACTAAAAATACTTGAGAAATTATATATAAGTTTTTTCCTATATAATAATCACTAGAAAAATATTTCACGAATCCGATCGAGAAAAAGCCTCATATTAATTGCTCCAAATTCATAATTTGAGCTACGGTGTGGTCAATTTAATAAATAAACTCGTGAGTTAATCTCTTTTCAGTTTGATTTATGTTTAGATCATTTTTTATATCAACCACATCAAATTTAATTGATTCGGTTGATTACTCTAAACCAAACCATTCCACACACACAAATATATATATA